GCCTCCTGAAAAAAAAAATGAGCTTGCATCTCAGACAATTTGAATCTGCAGGAATGGTGGCAATGCTCCTTACAAACAGTCTGACTGAGAAGCCAAGATTAATGCATACAATTTTACAGTCCGTGGAACAGTGGTATTACGTGCCCTCCTTAGTAGCGCCGTGCAAGTATTGAGCGGAGGTATATTGCTTTAATATACACGTAAAGTATTATGAACATGAAAAATAATATTCATACGATGGTCTTAAACCATGTGGTTGGGGGGGGGGGGGAACCAGCGTACGGTGACACAGGTGCATTCTGTAAATGAGAAATTCATCGGCTGCATTACGACTGCTAACAAGTGAGCGTGCATCACGCAGTACACCGGTGGGAATCAGTTCATCGAACGTCGTTTTCTCGATAGATCGTTTCATCGACAAATTGTTGCATTAACAACTCAGATTAGCTTTTTGGGGGAGCAATAAGCTACATGAGACTGTCGCCGCGAAGCGACCTGTACGGGTCGTTTAGGTGAGTTAACATTTTTGTAATCAGCAGCCTCAGACTTTCGCCGCGAAGTGGTGTGAACCCAGGCGGGGGTGTGGATTAACGCGCACTTCTGTGATACACGCGTGGCGAAACGTCCCTGCAAAGTGAAATTCGCGTAACGTGTGTCGATGAAACGTTCGTGTCGACGAAACGTGTTCATGAAAAGGTGTCCACGAAACGTACTTCCGCGAAACGAATTTCGACGACACGATAGGGACCCCTCGGCGAAATGAGAAGGCTACAGGCCGCGCGAGCAATGATGCGAAACTCGTAAAGCGCACTCTCGCACTCAGACAATGCGTTGTCACGTGCTTTACTGCAACACTCTAGCGAGCCAGCACGCGAGAATAGCCTCCCAATCGCTACGAACGACGAACCACGCGTACCAGCGAGCTCGCGACATGACACAAGATGAAAACGAGCTCCCGACTTGAGCTTTCAACTCTAAAAAGAACGTCAAACACGAACTGATATAGCGGTGACCGTCATGGAACCCGAAAGATTAAAGGGACGGAAATCCGTGGTTTCGTTTCTTTCGAAGAAATAAGCGTCAAAAATACAAACGTATATATGACAGTCCCCAATAAATGTTAATAAAAAGGGAAGAACAAACTCACGGTTTTGATAACAACAAAGAAAGCTCGCACACCATCCGGGAAAACAAGGTAGGTAGTTTAACGTAGAACAGTCGGAACCTCAGAAACCACCAAGCACCTTGACCCCTCGACAACAACAAGCGCTGTAGTATGGTGGCTAGAAGGGGAAGTGTGACGGGCGCTGTATGGGCGCCATGTCAGAGACGATTGCGAGTTGCGATGAGATTTCTTCGCCCTTGGGAGGGGCGCTGCAGCTTGCAGGAGAGTCAGCGGTCTTGGGTGATCTGTTGGTTCGCGGGCGCCGGCGCTCTTCTGAGGCTGCTACAAGTTCTGCTATTTTGGCTGTTCTGCTGTTTTGGCTGTGAGTAATCATAATATACATTAGGCTCATAATAAATAAGTGTATTAAAATAAGCTCAAAATAATCAAGAGTGATCCCAATGCCATTTTGGGTTTAATTCAAGTCCTCTGGGTTAAAAGTAATTCGAAGAAATCAAAAGAGTAATAATAATGTCAACTGAGTTCATTATAAATCATCTGGAGGTGTAATAACACGAAGTAATAAAACGAGTAACAAAAATGTCAGGTAGGCCGAATTAAAGTCCGTTTGGTGAATAGTAACTCAAAGTAATAAAACACGTAATTGTAGTGTCAATTGAGCGAATAATACATAATTGTGTTAAGTATTAGCCCCCAAAATTATAACAGTGATAGCAATATCAATGAGGCCGAATTAAGGTCCCGTGGATCAAAAGTAACTCGAAGTAATCAAAAGACTAATAATAATGACTGGCTGAGCTCACAACCCATAAATTGGTGCTATAATTACACAGAGTTACACAATTAAATTGAGAGTAATTTAAACTAAACAAGAGTAATCATAATGGCAATAATCATCACATAAATTCAATTTGTTGAATATTAGCTGAAAGTAATGAAGAGTCATCACAATGGAATTTAAATCGAATTTATGGCCAGTGTGTAAAAAGTAACTCGAAGTAATCAAAAGAGGAATAATAATGTCAACTGAGTTTAATATACATCAGTTGGAGCATTAATAGCACGAAGTAATCAACGAAGTAGCACGAAGTATGATAAATTGCAATTTTACTTATATCATCTGAATTGTATCAATGATAAGTCTAGTAATAAGAAACATTAAACGAAACGTCCGTTCAGCTAAAATAAATTTGAGTGCGCCAGAATAACTCGAGGTTACAAAAATAGTAACAAACATATCAATAACGCCTCTTCAAAAGTGGGACTAGTAACTCCACGTAGTCACAATAGTGATCAAATGATCAGTTGTCCCCCCAAAAATCTAAGTGTATAAACAATTATTTTAAGTTACCAAATGTGTAAGCAAAACACGGCAACTGAAGGCAATACGCGCCTGGTCCTGTCTCGTTTTCCTCGTATCTTCGTTTTTAGGCGTTTCACAAGTTAAACATGTACCAACTAGTTCAGTGTGTGGCATCTCCGGATAAAGCGGCAATCAAACATTTGTCTGCATGCGCACTTTTCCTGCACATTTTTTGCTGACTTTTTGAAATAAAATACTCGGCGCGCTTACTAATGCCTGTTCATGCACTCCTCCGAGAAAGAAGAAGGCTGTCAACAAGTAATTCCTTTGGCTTGTGTTCTTGACGCAGTATCTGTAAGAGCAAAATAAAAGTGAGTCCTATATGCTATGCCTCGTTCGTCACATTTGTCTTCTGCTGCACACTGAAGCATATGAAGTGTGCACGGTTCATAAAGTTATCAAGTAAAAAAATGCCAAATTTCCGCAGCACAGAACATATATGCGACAGGGTGGACGTTCACCTGCTCCAGCGCATTTGTTCTGAATGTAAATCAAAAATAATTATTTTTCTTTCCTTTCTAATGCATAACACGGCATCAGAAGATTCAGCTTTTGAAAAAAAAAACACGTCTAGTTGTCTTTTATTTACGTATCAACTATTTTACAGTATTCGTAGCAAGGGGAAAATATCGCGCAGCGCTCCATTCCCATGCTCCGCACGCCAGCGCTAACTCGCCCGCCGCGCGCAGCGCCCTCTATTATTTTGATCGCCACTCTGCGCAGCCCATTCGCTCCCGGTCGCCACACTTCCCTTCTAGCCACCATAGCGTTAGCAAAACGAGTGAGCTGAGATGGGTAGATGAAGAGATAGCGGCAGTTGTAATTGTACTAAACAAAAATCTCATCTCGTGCCTTTTCACTTAAGCAGTAACTAGCGCCACCTTGTTGCGGAACATTTATCATAAGTTGTTTGACAGTGCAATCAATGATTGTTTAAAGTGTGAGAACCGTTGTCTATTAGTCTAAACCAAATAAAAGAATTTTCAGCTGTTGTTTAATGAATCATAACTTGAGATTTACGGACAAGTCAATCGTATTTCAGGTTACGGATGTTTCTCCGTAGGTTTTAATGAGAAGCTCCACGTTTTTTTTTTTACGGAACGTTTTTACTGTGTACCTCATAAGCAACATTAGAAGTGCAAACCGTATGCAGCGTGACGGGCTTCATCGAGTGCCGAATACACTTGTGCCTTGTCGACATCGGGCGAAGAATCGCCACTCTACACGGAGCACAAAACATAACATTAATATCGTAATTTTTTAAAGTTGTGTGAAGCCTTATGCAAATAAAAAAATACTTTAAACTTTTTTTTTTCAGCTTTGTCTGGCTGATTATATTGCATGTGTTCCGTCTTCGTCTTTCAGTTTTTAGGCATTCAAATATTTTAAGTGAAGCAAAATTCAATGCGAGCGTAAACCGATCCGATAGTAAACCTTATGAAAGGAATAGAAGAAGAGAGAGAGAGAGAGAGGGAGAAAGAAGAATAGGCACACTATATTCCTTCTGAATCAAAGCGGACCGAGAGGATTAAAATTATCAACGAGAAAAATGTATATTATTAATGTTAAAGATTATATTAAAGGGAAGCTGAGGCACTTTTAAAAAAAAAATTGAGTTTGGAGCAATCTTTAGCATTTTGTCCCGTGAATTCAGTTATCGCACTTACCTTGGACAGAAGTAAACGTGAACCGCATTTCTTTTGAAAAATACGTGCAGGGATTGCCGCCGGGCATGCAGGGATTTTCTCTGTCGCCTTTTATCTGTCCCGAACTTCATTACGTCATTGGCTGCACCACTTATCCAGCTTAGTGGCCAGAAATGGTCAGTCTGACACCACTCATGACATCACTTTTGCTAGTTATTTGTTTGCTTTCGATTTCGCACTTTACTACCGTCGGCGAGCTGCAGTGTGCGGGTCTATGCAACACATTTAGATAACAAAGCCTTAGTGCTGAATGGGATAGCGTCATCAGAGAAGGCCAAGGCTGGACAGAGATTGGAAACGAGTGCGCTCGGCTTCGGGTCAAGTTTGAGCCGCACCTTGACGCAGTCGTCGTGTCCAATCTGTGCTCAGCGTCGGTCTTCTCTGATGACGCCATCTCATTCAGCACTACGGCTTTATTATATAAGAGGTGTTGGTTTACGTTCAAATTTGAATTGGCACTAGGACGCTCCTACTAATAACATTGAAATAAAAATTAAAGATATAGTTTTCAAGGTGTCTATAATACAGCATTTACTGCTTGTTTGAATTCAAGGACTTCTTCAGATTCCCTTTAATTCAACCGCAGTCTTATATTGTACGTAGATTGAACCCATACACCGCAAAACAATTAAAAGAGACGTTGGCGCACCTAATGGCAGTTTATTATTTTAAACAGGTTTCGGAATACGAGCAAGAAAAGGCAAGGTTGGACGCGCGAAGGAACAAGTTAAGTCTATAAAAAAAAAAAGTCGAGGGAACCGCACGTACTCTGGGACAATCAAGATATATAAAAGGACTCGAGTTCGAGCGGAGATCATCATACACTGCTGCTAGACTCTCAGTGAAGTATCTGCCGCCCAACCACACCATGAAGGCTATGGTAAGCCGTTCACTATTTATATTGTAATGAGGTAGCGTAGACTAGACGTGTACTCTTAGATGCACACTAAGACTTATATGAAAATGCATAACTGTGCTTAAACATTACCAGCTAACTGCAATAGAACCGTACAGTAAAAACTCAATTAAGGCAGCAGCTATCTTCATAATATAAATCAATGATAATTAAAAATACAATAAAAGAGTTTTGTCAATCTTTCAAATTGTTGCAATTTTAAACTATTTCACATTAACTATTCGCCTTGCAATGCCGGCCATAGCTGCCACTATGGTGTGATATTTGCCCCTCCACATAGTTAGTTCCAAGATAACTTAAGAAACTGTGCTCAACACAAAGAGATTGGCTGGATTTTTAATTATAAACTTTAATATAACATTTCACCGATACCTAGATTTTTGCCTAGTTGACAGCTTAAATATAAAATTCAAATTGAGTGATATCGCGGTAGTGTATTTGCTCCTTGACACAAATTACATGTAACTAGTGAGCATAGTATTCAAGAATATTTGTGTAGTGGTGAAATTTAATTCTATGCCTGATATGGCAGATACAAACATGGGCCCAGAGTAAAACAAAATATTGTCAACACAGAGTTGTTACGTAATACCAGAGTGCCACTGCCATCAATAGGGTGAAGTTGCTAGCAGAGAGATATTTCATAAACCAAATGCACTTGGCGTTCCCGACATAAGTCACTGGAAACACATAAATTGCTTTTTTTTTTTATTTTGCCTTCTCAGCTTTCTTTCGCTTTGTTCTGCGTCGCCGTTGCCGTGGCGTCTGCTGGCCTGCACCACGGTGGCCTGGGCCTTGGTCACGGAGGACTCGGCGGAGGATACGGTCTGGGCGGTGGCCACGGAGGACTAGGCGGAGGATACGGTCTGGGTGGTGGTCACGGTGGTCTCGGATACGGTGGCCTTGGGTACGGGGGTCTTGGTGGCGGCTACGGCCTCGGTGGTCTCGGAGGTGGTTTCGGCCATGGATACGGTGGCAACTACGGAGGAAGCTACGGTGGAACCTACGGCGGCACCTACGGCGGTAACTACGGTGGACACTACGGAGGACTCGGCGGTGGATTCTACGGCTAACCTCTTGCTCTGAGCCGTACTGCACTTTACACAGGTAGAGAGGATTTTTCTCATCGTGTGCTCGTATGACTATGAGACAAGGACCTCTAACCCAGTGCTAAAATGGTGAAGTTCTCGCAAAAATGCACACAAATTTAAACTGCTCACCATGCTTAAATTAAATATTACTCACTACGATATCTCTTGCTCCGTTGTATTATCGAATATAAAATTTAGTTGGACAAAGCTCGCCCGATAACCGCAAGCGCAATTTTGAGGATACTAGATTACATGTTTCAAACTAAGCTTTTAATTTATTTTGAAATGCTTAGTCAGAAATGTTTAGATATTGAAATACTTAGTTAGTCACATTGGGTCAACAGTTTCTGATTTGCCAATTATTACAAACAGCTGTTAATAAACGCAAGCATAATTTTTCTACATCAGCGTTAGTACAGCTAGAACAAATAAAATATTGTCAGAGCACTCGTTGCAAAGTAATTTACCCTCTGACCTTTAAAGACTGACGTTGTTCTCTATGTAATCACCAGATAGCATGCCTATGAATGTGACATAAAGCAGTAGAAAAGAGGAGAATTCGTAAAAAAGTGTAACAAGACCATATCATGGATAAATCAGTCGATTAAGAAATCTTTGACGGGTTAATACTAACGAAACCCGAATGTCGTCTTCTATTTGTTTCAATGTCAAAAACAAATCAAAAGGTTAAGATGTGAGACTTTGCAAAAGCACCTGGCAGGAAAAGTTGGTATAATATAAATGACACCGAAATAAATAAATAATACTGGATGCTCTTTTTAGAGCGCAGCTCTTAGGCGCCAGTTTCCGGCTTGAGCGGCGTCGGCGTCGGTGTCGGCGGAACCGCGCGGTGCATTATGGGAAATGTCCCATAATGCACCGCGCGAGCCCCCCCCCCCCTCTCCCGATGTCACGTGACCGCTCCAGGACACATGACCCCCAAGGTCACGTGACCCTCCCCCGAGGCCACGTGACCCCCCTCCCCCCCTCCGAGGTCACGTGACCCCCCCCTCCCCAAAGTCACGTGACCCCCCTCCCCGAGGTCACGTTACTCCCTCCCCTCCCCCCGAGGTCACGTGACCCCCCCGGAGGATATTGAAGAATGAGGGGAGGAGGACGAGGAGGGGTATACCTGTCCTCAGTACCCTTCCCTCCTCCTCCTCAAGAGCTGCGCTGTAATTCGGCGTTACAGGGAGTTGTAAACGGCTTTCACTTTTTATGTTGAAGTCTAGCTAGATTCCCTCGTCGTCAATCACATTTCAGCTGACATTAAAAATATTGTGAGGCAGGTCAACCCACGTCTCCTTTACCGTCGGAGTCAAGGATGTTCAGGAGAAAGCCATCCTATAGGATGTTGAAAAGATATTTGGAAGTAACTTGACTATATCGGCAGGCCCGTGTTGATTTAATGATTCAAGCCGGATTACAAAAACATGCTTGCAGCGTATACGACAATTTGATTCGGTTACATTGCTAATTTTTCATAATTTTGTTGTGTTTTCAGGAGACTCATCGAGCAAAGTGATATGGACCTACGAGAATTCGACCTATCCGAACGACTGAGTTTAAAAAAAATTAAAAAATATATATATATTAAATTATTCAAAACGTCTGGCTCGTTTTATATTCCAAAATAATTCATCAAGTCGAAAAATTGTCCCAATAGAGGACCGACTGCTTTTGATATTCACTATAACTTAATGATAGTTTAGTAGGGTAGTGCTGGGGGTACTTTCTTCACCTCATATACTAATATTGTTAGTATTTGTTATACAACATTTTTTTGATAGCTGCACACTGCAGTAAGTATTGTTAAAATAACATTCCGGTATCTACTGTCCAACATGTTGGAACAATGACTTGATCGCTGAGTTTTAAACTTCTTAACAAAACATAATATTTCTTGGATATTACAGGGTGTCTCAAATAGCGGCCAGGCTCTTTAAATCGACCGCGAAAGTCGTTTTTTTAACCTATCGTGCCACCAATTTGTGCAGCGTTGCCCACAAGTGGTGATTTTTTTAATGAAATTTTGAAAGAGCGAACTTGCTCTAGGAAAAATCAAAGAAGGGAAAAGTCTTAACTCCTATGCAAACGCACCGAAGCCACAGTTCTTCAAACAATAGGGCGCCCTATTGTTTAAAAACCGGTGGCTTCGCTACGTTACCATAGGGGTTAAGCGTTTTTCTTCTTTTATATTTTCCTCAGCTTCGTACGCTTTTAGGAAATTTTATAGAAAAAATGCACTACCTGTGGGCAACGCTGAACAAAATCGCAGCGCGAGAGGTTAAAAAACCTCTCGCGCTGCGATAAAAAACCTTAAAAACCCCCTCCGCTAAGCCCTAGCTGCGTAACGAAGGAGAAGCTACTGCGCCTGCGCGCCAATGGCCTTGACTATAGTGTTCCGGGTATCGTAGCGGATTGCGGAGAGCATTGCGGGACGCCAAAAACGATCTCCGAAAACTCCCTTTCAGCGGGAAATTTAACGGGAAGCTTAACCCGCTATATCTTTCGAGAAAATTTTCCGGTTAAATTTACTGGAAAAATTTCCCGCCAAATTTAGCAGAATTTTTTTCCCGAATTTAGCGGAAATATTTTCCCGGTAAATTTAGCGGGTTAAGTTTTCCCGTTAAATTTTTCCCTGCTAAATTTAGTGGGGAAACCTAACCCGCTAAACTTAGTGGGGCAATTGGCGTCGCGTGACCTGAACACCAATCCAGTTTCCCCGCCTTTAAATTTAGCTGGGAAACTGTGACGTCCCATAATGCAATCCGCGCGGTGGTGCCGACGAGGATGCCGACGACGCTCAACCTGGAAACGGGCGCCTAAGAGCTGCGCTCTAAAAGATGACACTGGTTGTTTGCAACTATAGACGAAAACATCCAGAACTTCACAAGTTTTATAAAAGTAGCCCACAAGCAAGCATTGAAAATGTTCCAATGGCGCGAGCATCTTACTTAGGAAAGTAAAGAAAGCACGCAACTAAACAAAAATGAATGAAGAACAGCAGATCAGACAGACCCTTTGTATGGAATGGAGAAAAAGTGATAGTAGAGAGCCAGCTCCCATCAAACTTGCCGCTTCCCAATACGATCGCCAAAATGACGCTACTCAAAGGCGCCATCACTTTGATCAGAAAAATTATGTGATCAAAAATTGTTCATTGAGACTACCTAATATTAAAAAAGTGCCTATTGCATTCTCTTCACGAAGAAACACTAAGAGATGCTTCGTTAAAAAAAAATTGTTTCTATTAGTCCATTCTTGAGCATTCTGTCACTCACCATCCAATATACACACACAAATTCGCGTGGTTGCATTTTCCCCCACGCTCTTCTTTGCGCTATCTAAGGAAATGTAAAAAGCTCCGAAATTATGAATAACAAAGTGTTCGCAGATTGCCAAAGTCCCCTGTAGGTTACGGATCGCAAGCGGATGCCCACGCGCCTTTTCATTGAAGGAACGCCCCGTCTGTCCAATATACACGCGCCCACATGGTAGGGGTACCTCATAGGCAACATTAGAAGTGCAAACCGTATGCAGCGTGACGTGGTTCATCGAGCACCCAATACGCTTTTGCCTTGTCATCATTGGGAAAACTGTCGCCACTTTGCATGGAGCAGAAAACATAACATTAATATCGTAATTTTTTTTAAGTTGTGTGAACACTTATGCGAATAAAAAAAATACTTTAACCTTCTTTTTATATTTTGTCTGATTAATTACATTGCATGTGTTCCATCTTCGTCTTTGAGTTTTCGTGCTTTTAAATATTTTAAGTGAAGCGAAATTCATTACGAGAGAAAATACGATCGGTTTAAAATAGCAATGTAACACTGATGTCAAGGTTACGATAGTAGATCTTATGAGAGAGAGCGAGAGAGAGCGAATGAGAAATAGGCACAATATATTCCTTTTGAATCAAAGCTGACCGAGAGGATTGAAATTATACATTCTCAGAAAAAAAGGGTATATTCTTCCACCTCTTGTCTCATATACGACACCCAAAAACTTCAGTTCGATGTATAGCGCGCTGACGTCGAACCGTCTTTCCCAAATTTCACAGATGGCATGAAAACCCTGTGGTACACTTATAGAAATAACTAATGAACGTGTTATCGACTGCAAAGAAAGTAATCGTGATTCTTTTTGGTATTACTGCAAAACCTCAGTGTTTCTTTTCTGTAGTCTTTGATACGTACTTAAGCTGTTTAATGAGGTATATCCGGACTTGTACCGTACGCATTACAAGTAATCAAATTAATTGTAATCGATTACTTTTTGAAGTAATTTTGTAATCATTTGATTACTTTTATTAGACAGTAATCACAAAAGTAATGCGATTACTTTTTGAGGTAATAGAAATTACTTGTAACCGTTACTATCTTTTCAGAGAGTGTTCCTCAGATTCAACACAGCCTTGCCATCCAGCGCGCCTGTTGAGAGGGTTTTCAGCGTAGCAGCAGACATATTCACAAAAAAAACGAGAAAAAATGAGCGGCGCAAACTTTGAGCGGCCACTCTTGCTTAAGCTTAACAAGATCTAGAACCCCCTCCGCAGCTCCCCCCCCCCCCCCCCCCCCAAACTGGCGAACGCCCAAATCGTTAAACTTCTGCAAACGAATTCTATGCTTGTGTCCGCATTGTGAAGGTGCAACGACCACGAAAAGGGAACCCGTTTTTTCTTCTTCAATACTTGTGAAAATGTGAAATATATGTTGGAAGTAGTTCCTTGTTATGAGCGCTAAAGATGTAAGTCTTCACGCAATAAAGTAATCGGGAAAGTAACTGTCGCTTCGTAAAGTAATGTCCAATTACTTTTGCTGTCGAGTAACCAAGTAATCTAATCGAATGATTTTTAGCCAAGAGTAATAGTAATTGTAATCGAGTACTTTTCTTTAGTAACGTGTACAAGACTGCGTATATCACACCGTTCTCAAGCACCTCGTAAAAATTTAGGCCGTCTGTTCAACGTCAGCGCGCTGTACGTTGAAATGAAGTTTTGGGGTGTCGTATATGGGATAAGGGGTGTACAATTATACCCTTTTTCTTCTCAGAGTGTAAATGAGAAATACAGGGTGATTCAAGGAGAGGCCAGGCTCTTTAAATCGACCGCAAAATTCGGTTTCTTAACCTATCGCGCTACGACTTTGTGCAGCGTTGCCCACAGATGGTGCATTCTTTTTTTTGTAAAATTTGTAAAGAGCGAACTTACCTGAGGAAAGAGTAAAGCAAGAAAAAGGCTTAGCTCCCATGGAAACGCAGCGACGCCACAGGTCTTCAAACAACACGGCGCCGTTTCGCACAGGAGACAAGAGATGCCGCAACGAACACCGCCAACAAACGAGCATACGGCGCCGAGAGCCGGCGTCTTTAGCAGACGATCTTTTCGACTCAAAAGCTGCGCGCGTTCCGCAGGCGGCGACAGTCGCAGAAACAAAAACGGGCGCGGTAACAACAAGGAACTGCAGTTCCTTGTCTGCTAAAGACGCCGGCTCTCGGCGTCGTACGCTCGTTCCTTGGCGGCAGTTGGTGTCACGACCGCTTGCGCCATCTCTTGTCTCTTGTGCGAAACGGCGCCGTGTTGTTTGAAGACCGGTGGCTTCGCTACGTTTCCATAGGAGCTAAGCCTTTTTCTTTCTTTACTTTTTCCTCAGGTAAGTTCGCTCTTTGCAAATTTTACAAAAAAATGCACCATCTGTGGGCAACGCTGCACAAAGTCGCAGCGGGATAAGTTAAGAAGCCGAATTTTGCGGTCGATTTAAAGAGCCTGGCCTCTCCTTGAATCACCCTGTATATTTAGTGTTAATGTGAAAGTGTATATTAAAATGAAGCCGAGGCAATTTTTAAAAAAAATTCAAGTTTGAAGCAATCTTTTGGCATATTGTCCCGTGCAGCGACTGCCGCCGGGCATGCAGGGATTCTCTCTGCCGCCTGATATCTGTCCAGAACGTCATGACATCATTGGCTGCATCCCTCAGCCAGCTTAGTGGCCAGAAATGGTCAGTCTGACACCACTCATGACCTAACTTTTGCAAGTTTTTTGTTTGTTTGTTTTTGATGTCGCAGTTTACTACTGTCGGCACGCTGCACTGTGCGGGTCTATGCAACAAATTTAGGTAAAAAAGCCGTAGTGCTGAATGGGATGGCGTCCTCAGAGAAGGCCAAGGCTGGACAGAGATTGGAAACAAGTGCGCTCGGCTTCGAGTCAAGTTTGAGCCGAACCTTGACGCAGTCGTCGTGTCCAATCTGTGTCCAGCGTTGGCCTTCTCTTATGACGCCATCTCATCCAACACTACGGCCTTATTATATAAGAGGTGTTGGTTTACCTTCATATTTGAATCGGCACTTACCACACTCCCACTGATAACATCGAAATAAAAGTTAAGACATAATTTTTAAGGTGTCTGTATTACAACATATACTGCTTGTTTGAATTCAAGGACGTCTTCAAGATTCCCTTTAATTCAACCGCAGTCTTATATTGTACGTACATTGAACCCATACACTGCAAAACAAATAAAAGAAACGTTGGCGCACCAATAGGGAGTTTATTATTTTAAGCAGGTTTCGGAATACGAGCGAGAAAAAGCAAGGTTTGGCGCGCGAAGGAACAGGTTAAGTCTATAAAAACAAAAGTCGAGGGAACCACACGTACTCCGGGACAATGAAGATATATAAAAGGACTGAAGTTCTGATGGAGATCACCATACGCTACTGGTAGAGTGTCCGTGAAGTATCTGCCGCCCAACTACACCATGAAGGCTATGGTAAGCTGTTCACTATTTATTTTCTAATGCGCCAACGTAGACAAGACGTGTACTTAAAATCATGTTAAGACTTATGCGAAAATACATAACTGTGCTTAAACATTACCAGCTAGCTGCGGTAGGACTCTACAGTAAAGAAAAAATTAAGGCAGCAGCAATACTCGCAATATGAATCAATGATAATTAAAAAAAAACAAGCTAACTGTTTTGGCAATCTTTAAAGTCATTAGAGTTTTAAATTATTTCACATTAACTACATGCCTTGCAATGCAGGCCATTGTTGCCACTATGGTGTGATATTTTCTACTCCTGATAATTCCTTCGAAGATAACTTAAGAAACTTTGCGCAACATAAAAAATCGGCTGGTATTTAATTACCAACTCTAATATAACAGTCAATCGATACCTAAATATTTACCTAATTCTTAATTTAGATACACAATTCAAATTTATTGGTTATCGCGGTAGATTATTTACTTCTTTCTTAACACAAATTACAAAACGTCACTTGTGGGCATAGTGTTCAAGAATAGATGTGTACAGCTGAAATTTAGTTATATGCCAGATAGGATAGATACAAAGATTTGCCCAAAGAAAAACAAATATTGCCAACACGGAGTTGACTACGCAATTTCAGAGTGTCAATACCATCAGTAGGTGAAGCTGCTAGCAGAAAGATATTTCATTTATAAAATGCACTTGGCGTTCCCTACATAAATAAGAAAAGCACATCAATTGATTTTTATTTTTGCCCTTGCAGCTTTCTCTTGTTTTGTTCTGCGTCGCAATTGCCGTGGCGTCTGCTGGCCTGCACCACGGTGGCCTTGGCCTGGGTCATGGAGGATTCGGCGGAGGATACGGTCTGGGTGGTAATCAAGGTGGCTTTGGTTACGGTGGCCTTGGACACGGCGGTCTTGGTGGCGGCTACGGCCTTGGTGGTCTCGGAGGTGGATTCGGACATGGATACGGTGGCAACTACGGAGGAAGCTACGGTGGAAACTACGGCGGCTCTTACGGCGGTAACTACGGTGGACACTACGGAGGCCTCGGCGGTGGACTCTACGGCTAACCTCTTTCTCTGAGCAGTACTGGACTTTACACAGGTAGAGAAGATTTTTGCCATTGAGTGTTCTTACGACTATCAGTGAAGGACCTCTAAACCAGTGCTAAGTTCTGTAAAATTCTCACAAAAATGTAAATGTATATTAACCGCTCACCTTTTTTAATTAAAATATTGCTCACTATGATATCTCTAGCTGAGTTGTATTATCTATTAAAAATTTCGTTTGAACAAAGTTTGCCCGATAACCTCATGCACAATCTTCAGGATAATAGATTACATGTATCTAACTAAGCATTTCGTTTATTTGAAAAGCCAAGTCCACACTTTGTTTTAACAGTTTCTGATATGCTAAATACTACAAAGAACTACTAATGAACGTAGGCATAATTTTCCTACCGCAGCGTTTGTACAGCTAGAACAAAGAGAATATTGTCAGAGCACTCGTTCCAAAGTAATTTGCCTTCTGATCTTTTAAGATTAACTTTGGTATCTATGTAAACACCAGATAACATTACTATGACTGCGACTTAAGCAGAAGGAAAACGGAGAATTCATAAAAAGTGTAACATGACCATATCATGGATAAATCATTCAGATTAAAGAATCTTTGAGAGGTTATTACTAACGAAGCACGTACTTTCTCTTCTGTTTGCTTCAATGTCAAGAACAAATGAAAAGGTAGAGATTTGAGAGTCTGCAAAAGTCCTGGCAAAAAGGTTGCATAATATAAATGACACCGAAATAAATACATATTACTAGATGTTCTTTGTATGTTGAAGTCGTGCTAATTTCTCACGTAGTCAATCACAGTTCAGCTGATATAAAAAAAAATATTGTTAGGCAGGCCGAACAACTTCTTCTTTACCGCCGGAGTCAAGGATGGTCTGGAGAAAGACACTGCATAGGTGGTTGAAAAAATATATGGAAGTTGTTTGCCTATATCGACAGGCCCGTGTTGTTTTAATGGTTCAAACCTGATTATAAAAAAGCATGCTTGCAGTGTATGCGAAAACTTGATTTCGTTAGATTTCTAATTTCTAATATTTTTGTTATTTTTTCAGGAGACCCATCGACCAAAGTGATATGGACCTACAAGAATTCGACCTATCCAAATGACTGAGTTTAAAAAATAAAAAAAACTTGATAATTCAAAACATTTTGCTCATTTTATACTCCAAAACTAATTCATCAAGTCAAAAAGGTCCCAATAGAGGACCGACTGCTTTTGATATTTACTATCTCTTAATGATAGCTTAGTAGGGCGGTGCTGGGGGTAGTTCTTTCACCTCATATACTAATATTGCTACTACTTATTATGGAATATTTTTTATAACTTCACACTGCATTAAGGATTGTTAGATGCGAATTCATGTATCTACAGTCCAACATGTTTGAACAAGGACCCGATTGCTGAGTTTGTAAACTTTCTAACAAAACAATATATTTCATAAATATTAGTGGGTGTCTCAAATAGCGACCAGACTGTTTAAATCGACCGCAAAAATCGGTTTCTTAACCTATTTCGCTATGATTCTGTGCAGCTTTGCCCACAAGTGGTGCATTTTTACTGTGAAATTTTCAAACCGAAGTCATTCTCGCCCCAGCGCTCGATCTTGCTGTTAGGCCGCAATCGACGCCTGCGTCTCTCGCCTTCTTCCATTTTGCTTTGGGCAGAAGTTCGCCATATGATGCGTTTAGATTCTTCAGTTATATGCTGCCTCATCATTTGTCCTTCGTGACAATATTGAGTATTATCTGTCAGCAGTGCTAAAATATTATGCAAAGCTACTTACCGGTCTTGCAACTCCTACAAAGCGAACACATTTTTTAAGAAGTGAGCATATTGAAGTAAGTGATGAAGTTTTGTTTGGCAAAGAGAATTATTTTCACAGATTTTTTTTTCATTGTGTGGCGGCTTTAAATATCCATTAAGAGGCAAACATAAGAGTAATTTTATTCACAACCATGATATCTTGACTTGAATGTATTAAGTAAGATACGAGTTGTTTTAAGCAAATCTTTTATACAGGGTGTTTTGTCATCGACATAGAATAACAAAGAATCCAGAAACCATTAGTTTGCATTTTTTTGTCATCTGCGGCGCACATGGAAATGTGTACCACAGTGCCGCAAATGCCACAAATATCGCAAATAAGGAGCTCGTCCTGTCAATTCCCCCATTGGTCCATGTATTTTTTGCGTGCTGTTACTAGTGGCACACCAGAGTGCAAATTAATAATAATATTACGCAAACTATATACCTAAAATGTTTGTATAACTTTCCTTTTAATATCTGCTTTGTACTTCATATTTAAATTCAAAACAAAATTCCACGCTTTATACCAGAGATGGCCAAACCACTGTTCGCGAGCCGCATGCGACTCCTTGCTGGTCCATGTGCGGCTGGCGGATCACTCGTAAAAGAACCCCCCCCCCCCCTTTCCTCCCCCCCCCCCCACCCTTCCTGCGTTTCCCCAGGAAAGAAGGAAATGATTTCAGAATAAAGTACAGCTTGTAGTTTAGCAGCCTTGTACGCCATGCGTACAATCGAACCGCTTTTCACTCGTAGGTTTCCAGATATCCTGTTTCTTTCATTTTTCGAGAGAGTTTACCGGACCCTAGGGGGATAGGCATCAAGAACAAAGACTGTCAAACCATGCTTGCATTTTGGTTTGGGGTCGAGGGAATGTTCGGTCTCACGGCTTCTGTCACTCGCCGGTGATACTTGTCCCCTTTACATAACGGACGTTCCCTCCTTATCGTTTCTTGTTGAAGCTCCCGGTGGCCCGAGTTGACCGCATTCAAAGCTTCCAGGAGTCACAGTTGTTATGTTTAAGTTCCCAAAGGACCGGGAACACTCTCATTGTTATTTTTACCGGCTTACAGTTGTGACCCTCAAACTGCTTTTTCATGTTTGCGGGGGGAGGGGGGGGGGGGGGTAGCTAGGCAACGGTTATAGTTGGTGACAGGTTAAGAGTGAAGTGGAAGCTCCCCTCACCTGTCTCCGTTTTGGCATAGCGGACGCTGGAGAGGAGGCGACCCCCTCTCCAGCGTTCGCTCTGCTAAAGTGGAAGGAGGTTTTAAGAGCTTCCACTTTACTCTTAACCAGTCACCAACTTATGAAGGCGCTTCTGGAGCGCTTGAAAGGAAGGGCAAAAGGTTTGCTGTACCAAGGTCGTGTTTGGATTGGAAAAGGGGACATGTGCACACGGAATAAAAAAGTACTAAATGACTGTCAGCATTCCTTGAGAGGAGGAGCTGGAGTACCGTCATCACTTCGTCAGCTGCCTCTAGGTATTCTACTTGCCCTGTCGATATAAGAAGTTAATTTTTGCCTACGTCTAACCACCTTCGGCGAAGTTCTGACGAGGTTTTGCGGCCGTCGTCGCATTGAAATCTAACAAGACACGTAGGCACGAAGATGAACATCGGATATTCCTCCCTGCGAGGGAGGAAAAATTCGCTTTCACAGAGAAAAGCGGTCAGCTCCTTTGCCTTATCTGTTATGCCGCAATATCGCTCCACAAGGCAAGTAATGTTCGATGGCATCATGAGACCAATCATAAAACATTTTTTTCGAGACTTCCCAGTTTCATTTAAGTTTAGAAAAGCCAAACTTGGCCAGCTCAAATCGCAACTTCAGAATCAGCAGGCCTTGATGAATGCCTTCAGAAATGAATCTGACGTAGCAGCCGAAGCAAGATTTGCAATCCACTGGAACATTGCTCGTACCAAGCGAGCTTACTCAGAAGGAGAATTTGCGAAGACCACCATCCCCGACGTCGACGCTTTGTTAGATTCAAACAATCAGAATCTTCAAAGCCTAGTCAACCAGTCCCAGTTTCACGACCTTCCGCCGAAAGGCGCATTTCACAGCTAAGCGCCGAAGTTGTCGACAAGCTTCAGGAGGGCCTAAACAGCTGTAAAGCATCCCACTTAGCCCTTGATGAATCTACGGATATACAAGACAAGCCCCAGCTCGCAATCTTCGTTATGTTTCATCCGACGAAAGTGTGAGAGAACAGCTTCTGGAGTGCCCTCAAGGAAACATGGGTGTGAGGACCATGAGTGCCGTGAGGGCCATGAGTGCGTGAGAGGGCCATGAGTGCGTGAGCGCGGTGAGTGCGTGAGGCCCCCTTCAGACGGAGCAACTTTTTCAGTAATATTGTTGTTGATGGCGGGTTGTTCCCTAGCTTTCCCTAGATGGACACGAATTGCTGAGATCGGGTCCGGCTCGAAACAAGCGATGAGCTCGGAGCGATTCGAAGACGCTTGAAGCGGCTGCATCCAACCAGGGACGCGATATTTTCACGTGATACCTCGTGCCGGTGATTATAACAACAAGACTTGATTCTGGTTTGAAATTGGTCGTTTTTGGAAATAAACTGTTTCAGAAAGATGCATTTCATTCTCAACGAGATTTAAATGCATAAAAACACGTTTATAGCGCGTAATTGTGTGTCTAAATAGTGCAAGCAGAATAAAATTTCATGATGATGATTGCAAATTGCAGTAATTGGTTGCTGCGTGTGAACACGGGCGGCCCATGTTGCTGGTGTTGCGACGTCAAGTTTCTGGGCGAAATTGCCCATCTGAAGCGGGCGTGAGGGCCATGAGAGCGTGAGGGCCGTTAGTGCGTGAGGGCCATGAGTAAGTGAGGGCGGTGAGTGGCGTGACGGCCATGAGCGCGTGAGGGCCGTGAGGTTCAGTGATGTTGAGTGAAGGGCTGAAGGTGAGTGTGACTGTGAAGATGAGGGGCTGAAGGCGAGTGCAGCTGTGAGGGTGAGTGAGGGGCTGAAGGTGAGTGTAGCTCTGAGGGTGAGGGTGAGTGAGGGGCTTAGGTGAGTGTGGCTGTGAGGGTGAGTAAGGGCGACCTAAAATGCCGACCTCTGGGACTTGCTCATGCTTTTAGGAGCAGCGAGTACCCTAATAAGACCACGACCAACCCCATTATGGTGCATTCGCGCTGCTAGCGAATGGGGGCTCCCGCAGGGAGATCTCACTGGCTCGGTGACGCGGTTGGGGAAAATGTTCCCCAACACGCCTTGCGGTTGCGCAGATCTGCTTTGCGGTTGCTGCTCCAGCCCTGGCATAAACGCGCCGTTAGTCCTGTCATGGTGAAGCCTGGCACCATGATGGGTCTCCTTTTAGAGAGCAGCTCTTAGGGGCCCGTTTCCGGCTTGAGCGGCGTCGACGTAACCGCGAGGTCACCTGACCCCCGAGGTCACGTGACCCCCTGACGTCACACGACCCCCCGAGGTCACGTGACCCACCCCGAGGTCACGTGACCCCCCTGAGGTCACGTGACCCACTGACGTGACACGACCACCCGAGGTCATGTGACCCACCCTGAGGTCACGTCGCCCACCCTGAGTTCACGTGACCCTACCCCGAGGTGACCCCCCCTGAGGTCACGTGACCTCAAGGAGTTGCCTATCCCTCAGTACCCTTCGATCCTCCTCCTCAAGAGGTGCGCTCTAATCCGGCGTTACAGGGAATTGTAAACGGCTTTCATTTTTTTTTATCCCACTGACATCAATTACGTTTTTTGTTACAACTAATTATGATTTTTTTCGCTTTTTCTTTTAAAAAGAGCAGTTTACAACTAGACTCAAGACGTGAAAATAATTTTTCTTGCAGATCGTTGCAGAGTTTGTTCGTATTAGTACTGGCGTCAATGCAAGGGAGCGATTTATGGATGTTGCCTCAGAAAACCTGCCAACTGTTCTCATGGTAACTGATGGAAAACCAAGACCGGCCATGTTCTGCGAGATCATCGTAAGGCTTCATTGTGCGGAAGATACAGAAAAAAAGATGCACTTTGCCCTTTGTTGTATTACACTTATCTTTTTCAGCACATTTGCAGTAAATGAAGCCGTTGTTTGTATTTTGGTATTATGTTTCTTTGAAAGGCTTAGCTGATGAATTAGCAGAAACTATGGGCTCTCTTAACAAGTATTTCATTACCTGACCCTGCCCTCATGCGCATGAGTATATGCAGAAAGCATGGTCACCAGCAGTATTGCGGAATGGGCACCCCCATTCCATTCCAATTCCATTCCGGGGAATTAGAGTTTTCGATAATTCGATTCCTTTCAATTCCTAGGAATGGAGACACTGGGCCCATTCCCACTCCTGGAATGGCTGAATCGTT